AGGCTGGTGGTTAGAGCGGGGGGGCTGGGAGTCAGGACTCCTGGGTTCTCTCCCTGGCTCTGGGAGGGGAGTAGAGGCTGGTGGTTAGAGCGGGGGGGCTGGGAGCCAGGACTCCTGGGTTCTCTCCCTGGCTCTGGGAGGGGAGTGGAGGCTGGTGGGTTAGAGCGGGGGGGCTGGGAGCCAGGACTCCTGGGTTCTCTCCCCAGCTGTGGGAGGGGAGTGGGTGGGGCTGTGGGATTAGCAGGTTTGCCGCGTGCTGTAGCTGTGGGGCAGGGCTGTTATTGCCGCCGTCCTGCCTGCGTTTTTTGGCAGTGTTTCCCCAGTGCCTGTGGCGCCGGCGGGGTTCAGGCCGGCGTCGCAGGGCTGGGGCTGCTGCGGCCCGAGGAGAGTCGTGGTGAGATGTGGCCCTTGAGGAGGGGGCAGGTTAGGCACAGGCCCAGTGCCCTGGAAATGCCCCAAGGAGCTGCTGCCAGCGGGGCTGCAGCGGTGAAATCCGGGCGGGTGTCAGCTCCCCGCTGAGTGCTGAGGGGATGGGAGGGAGAGGCCCGGCTCAGCCACCGTGAAATGGTTAATCCGGCATTCCTCTGCCCCCGCCATCCCTGCAGGGTGCCCAGCCCAGCCCAGCCCGGAGCAGTCGGGGCCTTGAGACGGGCTGAGATTAGTCGGAGCGGAGCGAAGGTCCTTGCTGCGCTATCTCCTCGCTGGCTGCTTGCCCGTGGGAAGTGGGTGAGGGGGCAGCCCTGGGCCGAGGGCACCTTGTCGCAGCTGGCTGGGCTGTGGCATGTGACCCCTCCCCGTGTGCCGTGCCAGCCCCTGGCACTGGGGCCGGGGCAGAGTCGGTAGGAGCTGCCCCCCCTTGCTGCTCACCAACCCCTCTCTTCTCTTCCAGCTCGGCGGCTGTGCGCGATGGTGGCTGGGATCGAGGTGTGTGCTGGAGGTGCGGGGTGCCGGTGAGTGGTGCTGGTGCAGCCCCTGCATGGCTCGGGGCAGGTAGAGCCGAGCGCGGGGCCGGCGCAGCTGGCATGGCCGGCCTGGGCAGAGCCGGCAGGCGTAGGAGGCTGTAGCGCGGCCGGCCAGCAGCGTTGCCATGGGGTTCACGGTGGCCGATTACACCGTCTTCGTGTTGCTGCTGGTGCTGTCCTCTGCCATCGGGCTGTTCTACGCGCTGAGCGGCGGCCGGCAGCGCACGGTGCAGGAGTTCCTGCTGGCCAACCGCAGCATGAGCTTCCTGCCCGTGGCCCTGTCCTTGCTGGCCACCTTCCAGTCAGCCGTGGCCATCCTGGGCGTGCCGGCCGAGATCTACCGCTTCGGCACCGAGTACTGGTTCCTGGGCTGCTGCTACTTCCTGGGCCTCCTGATCCCGGCGCATGTCTTCATCCCTGTCTTCTACCGCCTCCACCTCACCAGCACCTACGAGGTGACCGCCCGGCAGGGCAGGGCCGTGCCGTGGGGCAGGACGGTGGATGGGCTGATGAGGGAGCAGGTGGAGGGCAGGGTGAGAAGGCAGGTGGGGGCGGAGCGATGGGCTAGGTGGGGGACAGGATGATGGGCTGGTGAGGGGGCAGGTGCGGGACAGGGCTATGGGCTGGTGAGGGGACAGGAGGGGGGACAGGGAAATGGGTCAGTGATGGGCATCACCAGCCAATTCACAGGCTGACTCGTGGGCTGTAGGGTGCCGGAGCAGGATCGGGCATCGTGGGCCCAGAAGGGGGCAGAAGCGAGCCCCGTACACAAAGCCTGTCTGCCCCCCCATGCAGCACCGCCCCGCTCACCCGCTTGCCTCTCCCTTCTCCCCTGACAGTACCTGGAGCTGCGCTTTAACAAGGCTGTGCGTGTGTGTGGCACCATGACCTTCATCTTCCAGATGGTGAGCGCGTCTCTCTGGCCCCCCCCCCGGCTCCGCTCTGGGCCCCCGGCACGGATGGGTGGCTGGGCTCTGCTGGGGGGTGAGGGGGCCGATATGGGGCAGGCTGCACTACAGGCCCCAGCGTGCAGGGGGGTCAGAGATCTCCCATCCCAGGCGCACGGAATGCTGGGAGCTGCAGCTGGTCACCCCGGCTCTGCCCAGACGCCCGCGGGGCCTGCCGGGGCTGAGTGCGCACGCGGGAGCCCCCGGGACGGGACAGGCAGGTGCTTGGGGCTGGAGCTCAGTGTCTCAGCCAGAGCCCCCGTGGCCGTGTGCTCGGGTCGTCTCCCATTGGGGTGGGAGGGACAGTGGCCCCTCAGGGTCCCTGGGCGCAGGCGTTTCACCCTCAGAGAGCCGCCCTGGGCCGTGGTCTCACCCAGCACAGGGAGCCTCTTGGCCAGGGCCGGGCTGGCAGGGGTCTGCACCTGGGGCATGAGGGGCTTCTCAGAAGGTGGGACAGGAGGGGGCCTGCCCCACATCACCCTGCCCCACACCCGGCTCTGAGGAGTGCTGCTAATCCTTGTGCTTCCTGGGTGTTGAATTCCTCCCACCCTCCATCAGCCTGGTCCCACTGGGCCCTGCGCCGGCTGGTGCCAGCAGATCGAGGAACGTGATCGTTCCCCTTTATTCGACATTGGTGAGGCCTCATCTGGAATACTGTGTCCAGTTTTGGGCCCCACACTACAAGAAGGATGTGGAAAAATTGGAAAGAGTCCAGCGGAGGGCAACAAAAATGATTAGGGGTCTGGAGCACATGACTTATGAGGAGAGGCTGAGGGAACTGGGATTGTTTAGTCTCCAGAAGAGAAGAGTGAGGGGGGATTTGATAGCAGACTGAAGGGGGGTTCCAAAGAGGATGGAGTTCGGCTGTTCTCAGTGGTGGCAGGTGACAGAACAAGGAGAAATGGTCTCAAGTTGCAGTGGGGGAGGTCCAGGTTGGATATCAGGAAAAACTATTTCACTAGGGGGGTGGTGAAACACTGGAATGCGTTACCTAGGGAGGTGGTGGAGTCTCCTTCCTTGGAGGTTTTTAAGGCCCGGCTTGACAAAACCCTGGCTGGGATGATTTAGCTGGGAATTGGTCCTGCTTTGAGCAGGGGGTTGAACTAGATGACCTCTTGAGGTCCCTTCCAACCCTGATATTCTATGATTTTATGGTGGGGGGCCCTGCCTGGTCCCGCCGGGCCCTGCGCCGGCTGGTGGGGGGCCCTGCCTGGTCCCGCCGGGCCCTGCGCCGGCTGGTGGGGGGCCCTGCCTGGTCCCGCCGGGCCCTGGCTCTGCAGTGGGTCTGGCTGCCTCTGTTCCGTGTCTCTCTGGCTGGCTCAGGCCACCTGGGCCCCGTAACTGCTGCTGCTTCTCTCCCCTGCAGGTGATTTACATGGGGGTTGTTCTCTATGCGCCGGCGCTGGCTCTCAATGCAGGTAACTCGGTGAGGGCGGGGTCCTGAGCCCGGGGGCGGGAGGGATGAACAGAGGGGGGCGCAGGATAAACGTACCGAAGCCAGTGGCTGAGGGATATTGGGAGCAGCTCTTCTAACACAGGAACAAGGGGACATTCAGTGACATTGATGAGAGGAAAGAGGTTTTCACCCAAGGTGCCCACAGCCTGTGGAACTCACTGCCACTGGGTGTCACTGAGCTCAAGATTTTAGCGAGATTCACAGCGGGATGGGACATTTCTCTGGCTCACGGAATAGCCAGCGCTAGGCTGGTGAGCCTGACGCCGTCTGGCAGGGAGATTAAACCTCCTGCTGTGGCGTTTCATCCCGTCTCTAGTTATCAGAGCCCAGGAGCAGCCCCTCGGGGGGGCGGGGGGGGGGGGGAAGGGGAGAGAACAGGTGACTCCGCACCTGCCGATGAGGGGTTCTCACCATGGCTCGGACCCGGGCTGCATCCCCTGCCAAGCGCCTGTGGCTCTGAGCACGTAACGCCCGGCCCAGCACTGCGGTGGCCCAAGGCCGGAGCGCCGTGTGCCAGGCCAAGGTGGCTCGTCACCACTGCTCCAGGGGCCTGGCGGGGAGCTATGGGGGCACAACACCTCCCCCATCCCCAGCAGGAGCGAGGTGTGGCCGGGCCATGTGGCTCACGCGCCTCTCGCTGTGAGGGGAGGCCCGTTCCCAGGCGGGCGGGGGCTGTTCCCTCCCACGCATGCCTGGCGTGAGTGGGGGCAGCAGGCTGGGGGGCCAGGCCCAGGGCTGGGGTTTCTGGGGCGCTAGCTGCCTGGCCCCCACCCTTTCCTGATGGCTGGTGTTTTGCTTGCAGTGACTCAGTTTGACCTCTGGGGGGCGGTGCTGACCATGGGCCTGGTCTGCACCCTGTACACCACCCTGGTAAGCGCCGGCTCCCGCCCATGCGGGGTGGGGGCACCGGGAGCTGCTCTGGGAACCCTGGGAGAGGCGGGGATGGGGCTGGGAGGCAAGACCGGGGCGTTCCCCATGGCCCAGGGTCTGTCGGCGCCCAGCCTGGCCCATGGCAGGAAGTACCAGCAGGCAGAGGGGTGACAGAGAGACCCCTTGGGGTCCCAGCTAGGCAGCTCCCTGTGTGTCTGGGGCAGGGCTGCCTCCGAACACCCCAGGGATGGGGCATCCAGCCCTTTCCCCTCTCCCTGCCGGGGAGCAGCCCCCAACCCTGCCCCCCTCGCCCTGCCAGGGAGCAGCCCCCAGCCGGACCCGTCTCCCTGCTTTGGAGTGTCTCCAGAGAGTCACCCTGACCCCCTCTCTCTCACTTTCCCCCCTGCCCTCTGGTGACGCTCCATGTCTGCCCCTAACCTGGTGTTGGTGCCCTGCCCCTCTGTGTCGAGGGTTCTCCTCCACCCCAGGTGTGCTGGGGGCTCACTGCCCCCCGGAGCTCTGGGACTGGCCCCTGCTGGGTGGGGCTGATTCAGGGTGGCCCCCGCGCTCCTGGCCTGCGCTCAGGCTCTGTTGTGGGCCCCGTTCCTTCCGCAGGGCGGGCTGAAGGCCGTCATATGGACCGACGTTTTCCAGACGCTGGTGATGTTCGCAGGGCAGCTGGCCGTCATCGTAGTGGGCACCATCAAGGTGGGCGGCATGGGGCGGGTCTGGCAGCTGGCGGCTGATCAGGGGAAGATCTCTGGAATCGAGTAAGTGGAACCGTGGAGACCCCGCAGGCCCCCCGGCTGTCACACCCTGTAACGTCTGCCTGGTGCCCCATCCCGTGCCCGCTCAGCCCTGGTTAAGGGGGTGGTGGGGAGAACCCAGCCCACTCCCATGGGACCTACCTGTGCTGCGGGTCAGGGAAGGCCCGGGGGGCGCTAGACAAGCCACAGCCCAACGCAGGCCCTGCTTTGGGCAGGGGAAATGGTCCCATAGAGCAGAGCAGGGAGCCGTGGGGGGCAGCCGCACCGTGCTCCCAGCCCCGAGTGCTCTGTGGGGGCCGGGACCCCTCACTCCCAGCCCCACAAGCTCAGATTCCAGCACTTGCCCGTCTGTCTCGCTGCAGCCTCAACCCCGACCCCTTTGAGCGTCACACCTTCTGGACCCTGGCCGTCGGGGGCGTCTTCATGATGCTGTCGCTGTACGGCGTGAACCAGGCCCAGGTGCAGCGCTACCTCAGCTCCCGCACCGAGCGGGAGGCTGTGCTGTGAGTATGGGGGGCAGGGGGAGCCATGGCGCGCAGCCGGGCAGAGTCCCGCCAGGGGCCTGGGCAGGAGCAGGCGGCTGTTGGGCCCTGGGCAGCTGGGAGGTGGTCCAGCGGGGCAGGGACCCCAACAGCCAAGGCCTTCAGAGCTCCCTCTGGCCCCTACAGCCTGCCCTGCCCGGGGAGCGCTGGGCCCAGCTCCTGCTGGCGAGGGGCTCTAGAGAACTGGTCCCAAGGGTTCCTGCCTGCACGCGCCCCTGTAACACCCCTCGTCCCTCGCAGCTCCTGTTACGCCGTCTTCCCCTGCCAGCAGGTGGTGCTCGGCCTCAGCTGCCTCACGGGCCTGGTCATGTTTGCCTATTACCAGGAGCATCCGCTCACGGCAGCCCAGAGCCAGGCCTCCTCGGACCAGGTGAGTGCGGGCTGGGCCCGGGATCCACCCCTCCCCCTAAAGCCAGGGGCCCCTCCTGGGGATTCCCGACTGCGAGAGCTCTGGGCAGCTTTCTTCCTCGCTTGGAGACGGCCCCTCGGCCTTGCTCCCAAGGGCTCGCTGCTAGAAGGGAAACCTTCCCAGCCGCCTGATGCCTGCCTGAGTCAGCAGAGAGCCTGCGACTCTGGCTCTGGGCAGGGGAACGGCACCATGCAGCCCCGAGGCGTTAACTCTGAAACCCAACGATGGCGGCTCTGAGTGATGATGACGCTGCTAGCGACGGCTGCTGATTGTTTTCACGTGCTGTCCATTTCCATGGGTGCCCCTGGCCTCTCGCCCCACTCAGCGAATCGGTGCCCTGCCCTCCCGTGCCCTCTCCCCTCCCCTGGCCGGCACCCTGACCTCCCGTGCCCTCTCCCCTCCCCTGGCCGGCGCCCTGACCTCCCGTGCCGTCTCCCCTCCCCAGCCGGCGCCCTGCCCTCCCGTGCCTTCTCCCCAGCCGGCGCCCTGACCTCCCGTGCCCTCCCCTCCCCTCCCCCGGCCGGCGCCCTGACCTCCCGTGCCCTCTCCCCTCCCCGGCCGGCGCCCTGACCTCCCGTGCCCTCTCTCCTCCCCTGGCGGGCTGGCGCCCTGACCAGCCTCCTGCCTTTGCAGGAGGTTAAGTCCATGAATGGCTATTAGCCAGGATGGGTAAGGAATGGTGTCCCTAGCCTCTGTCTGTCAGAGGGTGGAGATGGACAGCAGGAGAGAGATCACTTGATCATTGCCTGTTAGGTTCACTCCCTCTGGGGCACCTGGCATTGGCCACTGTCGGTAGACAGGATACTGGGCTGGACGGACCTTTGGTCTGACCCGGTACGGACGTTCTTATGTTCTTATGTTCTTATGT